AAAAAAAAAAAAAAAAAAAAAAAAAAAAAAAAAAAAAAAAAAAAAAAAAAAAAAAAAAAAAAAAGAAATTTCTTTCCTCCCTTAAAAGAAAAAGAATTACATAACACTTAAGGTAGTCCCTAACTATCAAGCTTATATTTAGGCTAGGTCTTATCATGTATCCCAGGGATGCAGAACAAGCTGAAATATGCTAAAGACGTTGGAACAAAGCACAGAGAAAGGATGGAGCTTCTGCAAATATTTTTAAAAGCCTACAAAAAAGAAATGAAAGAAACTGGGAAATGAAAAAGGGGCTATACTACAGAAATTATTTCTAAAAAATAAGTACAGTCATCCCACAGTAACTAACTAATGGGGGATTAGTTCTAGGATCTCCCAACAGGTAACAAAACCCAAACATGCTAAAGTCTCTTATATAAAATAGTGTACTATTTGCATATAACCCACTCACATGGCCTTGTTTTTAAAAAAATCCCTAGATTATTTGTAATACCTAATAGAATGCCTTCATATCACTTCATCTGTGTGGATTCTGTGTAATACTCATATGTGACAAATTCAAGGTTTGTTTTTTGGAACTGTGAAATTTCTTCCTAAATATTTTCAATTCACGGTTGGTCGAATTCAGATGCCAAACTCACGGATATGAACAGCTAACTGTACCTCATTTAATGAAATGTTCTTTAGCAAATGAATGATATTTATTGGCCAGAAAACTAAAAATACCACCAATACTGTAATGCCTTGGTCACTCTAATGCCATGGCAGAATCAATACCATGGTAGAATCCTAAAAAAAGATCTATTTAAGTAAGAGGAAGACTATGTCACTATAATCTTTCTGCATGAAAAAACTAAGTAAATAGAGAGTTATATTTTAGAGGTGGAAGACTGACAAGAAATGATAGAGCTAGAAAAGACCTTAGAAATTATTCAAAACAAAACCATCTATATTAACTCCACTTCCACCCAAGTCCCAAGTAAGTCCTTTGTCCAAAATAACATAAATTCCCACTAATCTAGTACAATCTGAATTTGTTCTATAAAAAGCCAAAATCATTTGTTCCTTCTTGAGATCCAGTGGAAGAAACAAAACAAACACATATACTGGAACTACCAAAACTCTCAACAGACAAGTCCTCTAACAGAGTTGGTACAAAGGACTTAAAATGAACTCTTTCTAACTATGAAGTGTCAAGAGAATATTTATTATTTAACAATAAATGACATAAATGGTAGGTCCAGATGGATCCAGCTTTGGTGAATAGCAAAAAGCACTGAGAACAACAAGCTGGAGTAGTCTGATCATAGCCACCTTCAAAAAGAACCAGGAGACTCATGGGGTCTGCTTCTTTAACTCCCTACTCTAGTTTTTTTCTTTTGAGACAGTTTTGCTCGTTGCCCAGGCTGGAGTGCAAGGGCACTAACTCGGCTCACTGCAACCTCCGCCTCCCAGGTTCAAATGATTCTCCTGCCTCAGCCTTCTGAGTAGCTGGGATTACAAGCATATGCCACCATGCCTGGCTAATTTTGTATTTTTCGTAAAGATGGGGCTTCTCCATGTTGGTCAAGCTAGTCTCGAAATCCCAACCTCAGGCGATCTGCCTTCCTCAGTCTCCCAAAGTGCTGGGATTACAGGCATGAGCCACCACGGCCGGCCAGTTTTTAATTTGCTTTTTTCCCCCTACTTTTAAATTCAGGGGGTACATGTGCAGGTTTATTACCTAGGTGCATATATTGCATAATGCTGAGGTCTGGAGTATAAGTGATCCTGTCAACCAGGCAGTGAGCACAGTACCCAATAGTTTTTCAACCCTTGCTCCCCTCCTTCTCCCCCAAGTAGTTCCCAGTTTCTACGGCCATCTTTATGTTATTATCTTAAGATCTTTTCTATTTGTGTTATAACAACACAAATATCTCATTATCTTATTGCCTTTTTTTTTTTTTTTTTT